AATCAAAATCGCCAAGAAATTGCTGCCATTAGTAAAACCCCAGCTCACAAAAACCACGGAAAACCCAAAAAAAAAGTAGCCCATAAGAAGCAAAAGAATAAGTACATGGGAAAGCATGAACAAACTCAAGATGGAGCTAACTGGGGTGGGGTGTCAAAATGGGTGACTTGGACGGGTTTGTGTTGGGTAAAATGGGTAATGGGTATAAGTGAGTCAACCCATTTATATTCATTTAATTAAATGGGTAAGTCAAAAAATAAATTGGGTAAGCCAATTACCCATTTATAACCCATTTATTTTAACTTTTTATAAACTCATTTAAATTCATTTTTGCAAATTAAGTTATCAATTTATATCGCTCTTTGTACCCATCATTAGTTTTAAATATTTACTTATAATGCTCAATAAGCCTAATTACCAATTTTTTTCCATTTATACTCTATGTCACAAAATTACATATTATTTAATAATTGAATAATAAGAATATACAAATTTGAACTACGTAGTATAAAAGTTAATATAAAAACTTAATCCAAAAATTTTAAACCTCTAACATTTTTTTTTCATAAATAAATTTAAAATTCCATTTTAGAAAGATAAGAAAAGAGGCTAAAACTTATCATAAATTGGTAATGTTGAAAAATGAGCAAGTTACCAAATTAAGAGAAAATAAAATAATAAGATAAAACCAACAAATAATAATAATAATGAAACAAAAGTAGTTAACATCATGACAAAATGAAAAATTTGAAAAAAAAGGGTGGGGAAAGAGAATTCTAAATGGGTTAATTGGATTTGATGGATTACCCAATAATATTCATTTATTAAATGGGTATTATTGAGTAATTCATTTATACTCCTATACAAAAATTTAAGATCCTCGTACTCATCTATTCATGGACGGGTATGGATAAATTTAGTTAAGTGTGTTGGTTTGCCACTTATAAGCAGAGCCTGTGATTATTGCACCAGAATTTTTTTTCTAAAAAAAGAGACAACAAAAAGAAGAAGAAACTTGAACAAGATGACATTTTGAATAATGGGTTGTCCCCAGAAATTGATGAGAAGGCTGAAAACTTTGATGGGCCAGCTATGGAGTCCAAGAAAAAGAAGAAGAAAAAGAAGAAGAAACAGAGACGGGAAGAGTTTTTGAATAATGAGTTTTCTTCCAAATTTTGATGCAAAGAAAAAATAGAGAGAAAATATGAAGGTAGTGGAAACTGGAAAGAGTCAGGTTGTGGATGAGGCTGAAAAGTGAAGAGACATAGGAGAGGAAGGAGTTTAGGAAAGATGAATTCTTGGAAATAACTGCATAAGAGGATAGAGAACAAATTGAGAAAAGCCGGTAAGCAATTTGATTACGAAATTTAAGTACAAATTTTTCCAAATCTTTGGCTGCTGTCTCTTCATAGCCGACCACTCGACCACAAGAGAAGGAGTATGCCTGCACACGCCTTTTACAAAATCAAAGACACCTGCTTCTATTATCCATACGGGTAATCAAAACTCCTGTATGAACTAAGCTGTCATCTTCTGCTTCTATTATCCAATATCCATACGGGTACTTTGGCACCATTTCCACGGTTTCATCTACTTTGGAAAGCTGACTCATCTGTGCATGGTGAGAAGAGCAAGGGAAATTTGGCCAAGACATCATTACGGGGTCAGGCGAATGCAAGTATGCAACTATTAAATGAATTGCTGGATAGCGGGTAGGAGGGATTGAGTATGGGTCCCATTATATTTTTAGGAGAAATAAAATGCAAGTCTCTCAATAATTTATGGGTACTTGTTTGTACCCAAAAATTGGCATCAACCATCCAAATTGGTCAAATGCAATAATCCTTGGAGATATGTGGAAATGAAGCCGTGTGCACTCCAATCTTAAACTATAAATGCTTACTTGACAAAAGAGTTATGATTGTTTAAATTTAATTATTAATTGACGTAGATGAGTAATTATATGCATAAATAATTAAAAGGAATTAATTTTATATAAATTTTATTTTTTACAAAAATACATTTATTATAAATTTATTGAAGAATCTTGGTTTATAAGGTTATAATAATTTGGTAATTACAATGCTTAGGGTAGTTATGTGGGCAAAACGTGATTAAGTAAATAGAGCAAAAATTAAAAGTTTTCCCTAAGGATAAAATTGAAAGTTTAGAAAATGACATTAAAAAGTTTACACTAACTGCGATCCCTCTAAGTTCTTATATTGCATAGATAGTGACTTTTAACTGGAATCAAAATTATAAATGAATAATTAGAAACATAATTAACATAGTATTACAAAAAATCCAAAATCGCGACATAATTGACATGATAGATTTTAATTTAAATTTAGAAATTAGATAAGTAATCTTATACGTAACATGGTGACTTTCAAATCGATATCAAAATTTATAGATGAGTAATTATAAATATAATTAACATAGTACGCTAAGAAACTAGAATTGAGATTATAGATAAAATAATCATAAACATAAATCACATAATACAAAAGTTTCAGAAATTGAATGTTTGAACTATTGAAATAATTAGATAGTTACCAACTTAAGTTCTAACTCCGCAACTAGTTGTACTGGAGATGACAGACTATAAATCACAAATTTGACTAGTAAAATAGTGTCAAAATTTGAGAATTTTTAAATATTTACATTATCTAATGAGAAGGATAACCAATTATAGTAAAAATCAAAATTTACTATTAAAAGTAAGTGCTAAGTTAAAAGATTTGTTGTGATATGGATTATCTAATGATAGCAAATCCATTAAAATGAGCAAGCAACAATATCGAGACAAATGTCAATTACAATCTCGTGTTCAAATTAATATACATATCCAAACAAATGCACTTAACGATAAAGTCAAAGGGTGAGATCCAACACATTATTTAAAACACGAACATTGTTTAGACTAGTTACAATAGTTATATTGGCAAAATGTGATTAAGTAGTCACAGCAAAAATTAGTTTTTCTTTAAGGATAAAACAGAAAATTTGAAAAATGACATAAAAAAGTTTATACTAACTGCGATCTCTCTAATTTTATATGTTGAATAGATAGTAGCTTTTTAATTAGAATCAAAATTATAGATGATTTATTAGAAATATAATTAACACAGTACTTCAAGAAACCAGAATCATGACATAATTGATCTAGTAGATTTTAATTTAAATTTAGAAATTAGATAAGTAATCTTATATGTAACATGGTGACTTTTAAATTAATATCGAATTTGTAGATGAGTAATCATAAACTTAATTAACATAGCACTTCAAGAAACTATAATTGAGATAGTAAATAAAATAATCATAAATTTTAGAAGAAAATACTCTTTCTCTTTGAATAATAAAAAATTTAGAGTGGCAAGCATTAATCTCTTTGTCATTGGTAATCTTATTAATATTGAAAAATATATATATATAAAGATTAGTAGGGGTAGAGGGAGTGAGAGAGAGAGAGAGAGAGAGGTCAATTCTTTTTTCAAAAAAATAAAAAATAAGAAAGAATTAAATATTTTTATTATTTTTAAATCATTTTACTTTTCTGTTTATCACTCAATTTCAATTCCAATCCTAATATCGACAACTTAAAAGTAATACAATAATGTTAGAATCTTCTTTATTTTCTTTCTTTGCAAAATCTAATTTTCTATTTTCTTCTTTCTTATCTCTTTTTCTTTTCGTAGTATTAATAAGTGTGAAAAAATAAAGTTGAAAAAAACCCTTTTAGTTTTATGTTTTGGGATCTTTTAAAGTGAAAAAAATGAATAATAACCATTCCAACTTTTTTATTTTCAATTATATATAACAAAGGAAAACACATCTTAAAATTTTTTATTATACTAGTTAGATTAACAATGAGGTAAAATGCCTAAAAAATAATGTTCGGGATTAAAGCGATTGTATCACTATAATTTAAAGAAATAAAATGACAATGATAATGTAGTAATGCTATAAAATAAAAGGGTATTTTTGTTCAAGATTTATTGACATGTTGAATTGAATTATTTATGGGGGTTAAGTGACTAAAAGATCACGTTAAGAGGTAAACTGATAGTAGTGATATAGTTTAAGGGGGGTAAAGTGATAATAACCCTTTTAATTACTTGCATGCGCTTATAAATGTCATGTACACCAGTATAATATTAACTTCAAAAAATACTAGAACAAATTGAAAGAGCGAAGAAAATTTAGAAGAAAAAGAAGTAGGAAAAAGGGAAAAAATGTAAAAGGTATACCTATATTTTTTTAGTTACTACCAAACATTTCATGGGTTCAACAAAAACCCATTATCATTAACTAATAATAGTGAGAGTGAATAATAAATTTTTAGTAAATAATTAGTTTTAGTTACTTGGTTCAGCAATAAAGTTGGCCATCATAAGAGAAATTGAGGGAGTTTTTCACAATCTTCCGCACAGAAATTAAATATTATTAAAATTAGAAAATGATGGCATCGGATTCATGTTTTGAGAATAGCAATTTGGCATTTAATGTCTTATTGTCTCTCGGTTCTTTATGTTCTCCTAATTGAGCATTTACCTAGATGATGATTAATTTATCAACCCAGTCTAATGTATAGACATATATGCAATTTAGTCCTTTAGAAAGTCCTTCAAAAAAAAAAAAAGGCCTTTAGAAAGTCCCACATTCCTCTGCTACGTAATTCACCTATGATTGTCTTCCGGTTGCCTAAGCCTATGTGGACTCGTAAGCTTTTCATAATGGTCCAGGCAGAATTGTCGTGATTGTAGTGGTTCTGCCCGTGGTAGGAAGAAATTCCCACTTTGCACACTAGAAGCGACCCTATTTCCACTATAGTGCGATCCTACCGACAATGACAATAATGAATAATCACCCGAATGAATTTTTGTCTGTGGGGCTTCGGCTTCACCGCTATATCTAGCGCTTCTTAAAGATAGCACCAAATCAAAAAAGGATGGCCTGGCATCCTGTCCCTGGAGAGCTGGGCCCTCTGGATTCGAGCAATCCTTTGCATGATAATATTGTATTTGTTCACCTGGTACCAAATCTACCATTCAAGATTCTACTTTTCTTTCTTTTTAATATCTTTCCAACCTGCTTCATCCAATCTACTTGTCAAGATTCGTATTTTTTCCTCCTTTGTAATTTGTTCTTCCTGCTTAACCAGGAATACTAATTTGGTAACAAGATGTCGCCCTGCGCCTGGAGAAGCTTCGATAGCTATCTGGGCCTCCCGAAATACAGCTTGGTAGGTTGCTTTCTTTATGGGTTTTTTTTTGTGGTGATTCAGTCTATGATTTGCTTTGGTTTGAAATGGGTATACCTTGTGCTTGTTGGTCTTTTCCTGCATGTAATTGTTTATTTATATTTAGAAGAGGGAAATTTCCTAGAAGATATTATCCGTCTGCAGTTGTATTCTGTGATATCGTATGGCTGTCTCAGCAGAATACTTGATTTAATGGATAGTTAGTGACTGTTAATCTTTTGTTGATTGATAAACTTGATAAAAAAACAAGTTGTTCATCTCAAAAATCATGACTCAAATTCAAGCTCTTGGAAATTTTTGAGCTCGGTGCACCCTTACAAAGCCTTTGGCTTTGGAAGCCCTTTTGCCAGTTGGGAAGAAAAAGAATGAAATTTAGAGGATTAGAAGCACAGAATTAGGATTCAAAATTTAATTTCATTTTTAGGAGGAGATGCTTCCAACTGAATTTTGTAGAATCTAGTCTGTAATATGTGTAGCTGGAAATAACTTGGAAAGTCTTAGTTACTAATGCTTCTTTTGTAATTGTCTTCCCACTATTTAAGTATTCCGTATTGCTTGAAATATTTTTAGGACATGTCCATGAAATATTTAAGTATTCCCACTATTTTGGCTGTGCTGCTATTTATTTGTTGTACTTGTTGATCAATCGCGGTGTTATTGAGTCGAATGATGCTAATTAACTCAAGATGACTGTCAGTGAAACCAGAAATTGATTCTAACTAATATGCGTAAGAAGAGATTTTGGATTGCATTCTGTGCAAATTAGGAGGAGCTTTGAGCATGTGATTTGTTTCTTTGTGATGTGAAAATATGTTTATAGTGCTATCGGTTTGTAGACTTGGCATAGTAACTTCTATCTTTAGCAGTTACAGAAAATTCTGAATTCATTTTGCCTGATCATTGTTTTACTATCTAGTTTTGACAGTTCCACAATGTACTGGTTGATCTGCTTTATAATTGTCATGCTGGTGCTTTAGTGTATTAAAGATTGAGTTTTGTTGACAGGCAAGTGGAAAAACAAGATCTCTGTTCCAATCTGCAAATGTTGTTGAAAGGCAGAATTTGGAAGGTGGTATGGATGGATCCTTAGCAGAGAAGTATGCTTCTTCGCATGAGAGACTGTCTGATGACATACGGAAAGAGAATTGTGTATCAGATATGCTAATTGATTCATTTGGGAGGCTTCATACTTATTTGAGGATCTCTTTGACAGAACGTTGCAACTTACGGTGTCAGTACTGTATGCCAGCTGAGGGTGTAGAATTAACCCCAAATTCTCATCTTCTATCACAAAATGAGATTCTTCGTTTGGCGAATCTTTTTGTCAGTTCTGGAGTTGACAAAATTCGTTTGACTGGTGGAGAGCCAACTGTCAGAAAGGATATTGAAGATATTTGCTCACAGCTGTCAAACCTGAAGGGACTAAAAACCTTGGCTATGACCACAAATGGAATTACACTAGCAAGGAAACTGCCAAAACTGAAAGAATGTGGACTGAATTTGGTAAACATAAGCTTAGATACATTGGTACCAGCAAAATTTGAATTTATGACTCGGCGTAAAGGACATGAAAGGGTGATGGAGTCAATTAATGCTGCAGTCGACTTGGGATACAATCCTGTCAAGGTACGATCTTCTTCCAAAATTTGAGTCGCTCATCAGATGTTTTTTTTCTTCTGCCCTTTTCCATGCTGGCTATAGCTCCATGTTTTAAAGGGCTTTTGATTGCTCCCTGTTGATTGTCAGTACTTCTCCCAGAAAAACTCAAGTGTATTAGTTCGTGTGATACAAATTCTCTGTATTGTCTCAGGTCAATTGTGTCGTAATGCGTGGCTTCAATGATGATGAGATCTGTGATTTTGTAGAATTGACGCGTGAGAAGCCCATTAATGTTCGGTTTATTGAGTTCATGCCTTTTGATGGAAATGTTTGGAACGTCAAGAAACTTGTGCCCTACTCTGAAATGTTGGACAGAGTGGTAAGGTAGAACTCAGGCAGTAGCTAACCTGTTTGGGTTTTTGGATAATGTTGCTCATAAACTAAATCTCCCAATATTACTGAACAGGTTAAACAGTTTACAGGGGTTCAGAGAATTCAGGACCATCCAACTGAGACTGCTAAGAATTTCAGGGTTGAGGGCCATCAGGGTTCAGTTTCTTTTATTACATCAATGACTGAGCATTTTTGTGCTGGATGTAACAGGTTGAGACTTTTGGCTGATGGGAATTTCAAAGTATGCCTTTTTGGTCCCTCAGAGGTAAATTACTTTCTTCCCTCTCCTACAATGGTTCCTTTTTGGGTTCAGAGCTGATTTTCAATCACTTCCTCACTGAGAGTTTCCTTTTCAGGTCAGCTTAAGGGATCCACTTCGTCTTGGTGTTGAGGATAATGAGCTCAAGGAGATTATTGGGGCTGCGGTACAACCCTATTGTTTTTTCCTGAGCACACCAATATGCTCAATTAACTTTCACTAATTTGCTTGGGTTCTTATTCATTCAGGTTAAGAGAAAGAAGGCTTCTCATGCTGGCATGTTTGATATTGCAAAGACGTCAAATAGACCCATGATCCGCATTGGTGGCTAAGCTTGTGCGAAGTTGTATGTCTGCTAACTAATGTTGCTTATTACAGTAATTAATTTTGATAACCAATTTCAGTTGGCTTAAAGTTACGCTCTTCACATTTAATCATTTTTTTTTACCTTTTATTCTTTCACTAAGATCTACACCTCTAAATTCATTTGTTTCCCCTTCAATATGGAATTATCTGCACCACTTATGTTCAATTGGTTGGAGAAATGTGATTCTTAAGTCTTACTGTTATTGGTTCTTCTGAACTTCCGAGTGCAGTACTTGTAGTTGTTATGCTTGATTGGAACATATCAAACAGTACTGGATGTCTAGATTATAATCAGCCTTTGCTATGGGCTTGGGTCCCTTTGATACCTAGAATCTGATTCAGGGTGTTCCTTGCCTTGCAATCGTCACACATTTTCCACTAAACACAGCAAATTTAGTGTTGGCTGGCATGCGAAAACACAAGCAGACGACCGTTTTCCAAAAATTCTTCCATGAAATGTGAAAGTAACTGGTTCAAATTTAAAAAATGAAGAATGTGCTGCCTGGACTTGTGAACATAATCATTTTCTCAAAGTGCAAATTTCTAATTGATTTATCATTGTTGCTGTGTGGGTTCCCTAAGTGGTACCTGGGGGCGTCTTAGAGAATTTTGAACCTTATTTCAGGAGCTGAAGTTTTTGATTGCCCTTGAAAATCATGTCAAAAAAATGAGCAGAATTTGTTCTTGTTTGCTTAGTATATCAAAGTTTCCTTTGGTTGGAGGGCCAAAGGGGCGGCAAAGGTTTGGTTGCTGAAGAAAAATCTCTGATTTATACCCCTACCTGCCTAGCTATTTAGATACTTGAACTTACACACGGTATTGTTCTAAGCCTGCTCAAATAGTTTTTTAATGTTATTGCATGTACAGGAAGTGATTCCATGCCTAAATAAACTATGTTTGATGAGGAAATTGTGACCAAGTCGATTCCATCTGATGACTCTGAATTTATGTCTGGGTTGAGTGTCTCTGAAGCGCCAGGAAGAACTTGTCATCTATTCTGTAGTTGGATTTTTTTTTTTCCCCCTATCAGCCATTTTCATGTAATTCTGAATTTTGTACAATGTTGTGATATTAGTAATGTGATCGAGAAGCAAGGAGGTCAATCTCTTTCAAATATACAACATGGATTCTGGCAATGCAATGTAATGTAGTTGGACTCTCATTGGAACTCTGTTTCTATTTATTTTTGTTTTACCTTGGAAAATCATACAATTACCTCGCGGGGAGTTAGCTGCACCCACGAATGATATAAATACGACTGTTGCTTTGGCTTTACTGACGTTAGTGGCATATTTCTATGCGGGTATTACCAAAAAGGGATTAAGTTATTGGGGGAAATATATTCAACCAACCCCAATGACTCGTAAACTTTATTATGACCATCCTTCATTGGTTGACCGCGAATTCCATTATCCAGAAGTGTATCCACCGCTTCTTGTACTAATTTCTCCTGACACATTACTAATTCTCCTGGGGTAGATCTACTTGTTGTTAATATAGATTGGTAGAAGTGTTGTTCCGATAGATAACTCTTCTATAAAGTTCATTAATATCCGAGCTCATTAGTTTACCCCCATCTATCTGAATGATAGGTCTCAATTTGGCCTATAAATTCCTTTCTGAGTCACTAATTATTGAGATTTTAAACTGAACAGAAGATAATCTCCAGAAGTCCAGTGACATTTTCTTTTGAAGCTAATTACGGCCAAGTTACTCAGTTCAGCAACAGTTAAGCATGATTTGTACGTCAAACACACTAGTATGATGACACGGTATCTACCAGGGAGCAATTGTTTAGTATCTTTGCTAGAGCAATATAACATATTTTCAATTGTTTTTTCATAACTTCAGCATCGAATTTAAGCACACAAATACGTGTACAACAATTTATCTCACATACCTAACATTATATATAAAAGGAATACTGCAATAATTATTTTGAAAAAAAAATCTTTCAAATTATCTTCAATCCAGCCACATTCACAGTATCTGACAAGTCAACAGGTTGCTACGCCAACTGAAAGAGACTCTTTCTTAGGTTATACAGCTTCAAAGTTATCCGATAAAAATTTTTGGTTTGTACATTAGCTGGTAAAAAAAAATTTATCAGATACCATATTTCGGAAAATATATCAATAATCCAAACACACTCATGCATCAGAGTGCAGGAATGTCAACCTGTCTTTGTCTTTTATGTCCAAGTCTATTTTCTTCTCTCAAGTCATTACTCTATTTTCTTTCAAGTCAGCGTCCAACGTTAAAGAAGTTCAATTTTGATGCAAGTGGTTTTCTTATCTTCTTTCGATTGTCTATCCTCTTCAATATACCAAAAGCATACAATGAAGGCTAGCTAATTTGCATTTTCTTTCATTCACAACAACTATGGTAGAGTGCATTCTACGCGATACTGCATTTTTATTTTAGTATAAGCGAGAGAGTTCAAATCCGCCTTATACTTCCTTCCTCCAAACCACTCGACTCCCCTTCCTGAAACAGCAACTTGTATATATATATAAACACTCTGCACATAGATTAATAATACTCCACTCACATTGCTTTTTTCTCAAGGGTGAAGTGCATCTGAAATCATTTACTAATTTTTTAAATTTTCATGTCGTCCATTAGACTATTTTTGTACCAAATGAACCTCCAAAAGTGCTTCATTTAGACCATTTTGTTAAATTAGATAGGAGTCAGCTCTGAATTAATTACTTTTCAAAGATCATACCGTTAATTTCCAATGATTGGTTAGAGAGATCCAACCATCGATTATACTACTATCACCTTGCAGAGTTGCAGGGCCTTTTCTTTGCTTTTATGTGTGTATCTTTCTGTAACTTAAAGCATTTGATGCTATAAAATTTGTCGAAGAAATCAATTAAAGATAGCACATTATCCAAGTATTACACTATCTTACGGAGGAAATCTTATGCACTGAACCATGCAATTTGCAAGTTGCAAGTAGCAAGTAGGTCAACAGAAATATCAGTTACTTAAGGTTTTCTAAACTTGCAATTTGTGCATTAATAAACCAGCTTCCGCAGTAGACTCAGCAATTTGGCACAAATCAATCTTTATTATTTCTGTTCAATTGCATGTAAGTTTGACATGCAGACTTTTAGCTGCAAGTCTCCGCTTAGTTTAATGCCTCAACAATTGGGAGATGAAATTGACTGATTTATGATAATCATATAATACTTGGATAGTATATTAATTTACTTTCTTCAAATGACAAGTCTTGCTCTTCTCTCATGTATTTGAGTTTCTTGCATTGTTGGATTTGAGCACTTTTCTTCCATTGAATTTGTAGCTGCAACTTTTGCTGGTTGAGAGCAGGAGAAAGTTTGGCAGTTGAAAAATTAGTGAGGTATGTACTTTGATTTATTTCAACAATTGAGGATGATATATATATATATATATATATATATATATATATATATATATATATATATGCATGGACCAATGGAGATGGTGACAAAGGAGTAAGGGCATTAATAACTGTAGGTAATATAACAACATCAATGAGACTATGGTGATAAATCTCTCCAACCAATAGTTATAAATTAGAAACAAAAAACTCCCTAGATCATAAATCAACATCAATGGGACTATGGTCATAAATCTCTCCAGCCAATAGACATAAACTAAAAACAAAAAAACTCCCTGGACCATAAATCTGAGCATCTGCAAGTATCTTTACAGCAGACAATCATGACAATGAAACTAGAAAGTACAATTCTCCCCAACCAAAGAATAGTAGATATAAAAATTAGTATACAAGTAGTAAATGAGAAGCACTAAATAAGTTGATGAATTAGGTGCATGTAGTCTCACAAAATGAAAGACAATCAAAGCATCATTGCTAAGTCCCCTCCCTCTTCCCTTAAAACACCCAAAAAAAAAAAAAATATTAATCCAAGTCCAATGTTTCTTGGGCACTCATTTTTATTGATACTTTTCTACGTCAATTCCTTTGACATTTTTATGTTTTATCAGATTTGTTTCCCACTTACCTGTCTCCCTTTTTCTTTACTTTGTTATGGTAAGAACAGTACTGTGATTTAAAGTCAAAAAGAACGTGCTGAGAATTCAGGGAGGACTTCTACAATTTAATAGAACAAAATTTTCACGTAATTTGAAATTCTGTCATTTTTGGATTCAATTACTTTTGTTCTGGGAATTTATATCACCAACTTAACTGGTAAAATGCAGGTGAAATTTTGGCAGTTAAAAGGTTTGTGGTACACAGGTACTTGCCTTCATCTCATTTTGGTGGATACAAAATTCCTTCAGAAGAAAGATTAATGCAGCCTTGCCATTTTGCTGGGATTTCGTTTTCAGCAACTGAAAATGATATGTATAGACCAATTGAGATGGTGAAACATGAGGAAGAGCATTCCTAGCAGTAGGCAATGAAACAAGAATTATGCAACCAAACCTTATATGTCTCCAATCAGCAGTGATATATTAAAAATAATAGATTCCCTAAACAATAAATCTGTACATGTAAAATTATCTCAAGAGCAGACAATGAAACTAAAATTACAAATCTCCCAAACCAAAGAATAATAGACAACTGATTATACTAGTCACGTTCATGACAAGCATTATACTGAACTCATGAGTTAGGTTTATTTAATCTCACAAAATGACGAAAGAAAACCAAAGCATCATTGCTAACTTTTCCCACCCAATAATAAAGAAAAATAATAATAATCCAAGCCCACATAGCTAAATCGTTTGAGGGAAAAGATGACAAAAAAAAAAGTTCTTAAAAACTTGATTGTGCACACTGACGACATGAAAACCTGCTGTCATTTACATGAGAAAAGCCTGCTAATCAACAAAGTGGCATCCCACTAAACATGTTGATTTGTGATTGAGAAGACTTGACTCAGAAGAGGGAATTGACTCAGATCTTGAACCAAATTCATATCTATATCTCCAAAACCACGAAAAATCCCATGTGAAGTGCCCTCTCCTTTATACAAATACTCTATCTCCTTCTCTATCTTTGGTGTACCTTGCAAGAATCGAATTCCTTGGTTAGCCTGAGGCTGAAGCTGAACGTCAGTCCACAACTTGGGGTTGTTACTACTGCTGCTGATCATCCCTTTTGGTGGAAGTCCTCTACGTGCCTTCTTGATTCTTTCTTTCGCTTCAGCTGATTTTCCAGTAAGTCTTTGCACGAGATCGCGAAAATTTTCAACATCTGTCTTTATAACCTCAGGTGCAACTACGTGAATTATTCGTATTTTTGGCTTCAGCTTGGATATTATGTGAGAATCCTTGTGCAAGGCCAGCTGCTTGGAGTTTGCTGAGAAGCCTGAGAATAATGCATCATTTGTTTGTGGTTTGATCCTCTCCATTTCTTCTCAAAAATAACGAAAATAAAAGAAAGCAGGGGTGGAAAGAAAGAGATGCAGTTTGGTTATATCCAAGAAGAAGAAATTGGGGGGTAGTTTATATACAGATGATTGATCATGAGCAACTAGCAAACTTTAATGTCCAATGGGAGTAATAAAAAGGGGAAAGCCTGGATAGAATAGATAAGAACTTGTATGATAAGTTGTTGACAAGTGTATGTTTCCGTACATGTCATGTCATGGAGTTGAATTTCGTACTTTATGATCCTTTTGTCTAAGTAGTTTAATCTTGGATAAACATAATTGTAGGTGCTTTCAACATCTAGCACCACAATAATTTCCAAAAGAAATACAAGTATGCAGTGACTAAAGTCAACTCTTGTAATGCATGTAATCAATTTTGGACTTATTCTCCATTGATTATTTAATCGATTATATATATTCTAATTTTGAATAATTACCTAGTTTTTGTGATTTTTTCGATTGCTTTTATATTTTCATTATAGATTTTTAATGACAAAAAAAATTAAAATATATATCGCCCAAAAAATAGCTTTTACTGATTCTGATTATTTTTTATAATCAAATTTTGTAAAATTTAAAGCAATCGAGAACAAGACCTTTGTTTTTTAGCCTTTTTTTAAAAAAAGAAAAGAAAAGAAAACCTTTCAGTCATTTAGCTCTATAGTGTTTTCCATGAATGTATCCTCTTTTGTTCTTTTATTTGGACTAACAACAGCAGTTTTACACTGAATTTTCCGTTCAGAGTTGATAAGGGGCAAGTATAAAAAATTAATGCTCCAATTGCACTTTGTAAATCTGAAATTTCCTCATGCTCTAGCTTTAACTAATACTAAAAGAGATTGTTTCATCAGGTTTCTAGAAAGGTGTTGATATTTTGGTTAAGTTGGATATTACTTGATACTTATTTTCATACTGATACTTTTCTTTGAGCCCCTTTCTTTCTAAGAAAGTCAATTTCTCAAAATAATGACAATTTTTCATTAGGACATGTCAATTCTTAACTCTTGCATCCTAATTGCTCTTTTTTTTTTTTTTTAAAAGTGGACTTCTTTCTTGATAAATGATAATTATTAGATGGATAGAGAACTTGACTTTCTTTACTTCATGGCTTTGGTAAACTTTTTCAAATTGGTAATATCTCATGTACTTTTCATGCGATTGTGTTATCCCAAAATATAACATTTTTTTGGGTCTAAAATTCTCTGTGCAATTTTGATTGTTAAGTCACAATGTAATATTTTTCATTTTTTTAAACTATTTTGCATTGGAGTCATTGGTTGGTATAATAATGTTTTCCGAACCTTCTTTTGAGCTTCCTAGAAACAGCTCAAAACTTGAATCCATACATATTAATGAAGTAAATGTTATACATATATATATATATATATATATATATATATATATATATATATATATATACATTGTATTATTCTAAATAGAATCCATAAAAATTAATGAAGTAAATGTTTACACTATCGGATCCATTTTTAGAAGGATAATAGAATAAATCAATTGTCAACGGTTTTTACATGTTTATCAGAACCACTTATCACAATGGAAACTCTGGTCATCGCTTTGTATATGTTGGATGAGATAGAATATGACCCTATAATTGATAAGTGGATGGCTAGCCATTAATCCTCACACAATTCTGCGAACTTTTAGCCTTCTCGATCTCAAGGAAAATGTTTGCTTCATCGATCATGGATAACATTATTACTCTTGTACCGTACGGACATGTGAAGATGTGATTTACTGGCATAATACACAAAAGAAATCACAAAGTTGTAAAATGTGAGACAAGTGTAATAATACACAGTTTCATGTGAAACCCCAATTGACAACTTAAGATCTTGCTTGTACAATTCTTGAAAACAACCTTTTGGGCTAATCTTGGCAACGAACTAAGCTAGGTTTGTGACAAGGACACAACTCAAATCTTAACGCTAGAACTATATATATTGGCAATAATATACAGGTAAGTTTACTTTTCACAAGTTAAAAATACCAAACTTGCTCTTCAGTTTGCCGTACTGTCCTTCTCCCACCACAGACACAAGACAAGCAGAGATACACTCAAGTGCCACCTTAACTGCATTAACATCAGGTTGACTTCACAGGCTTGTGCTGATGTTTACATGAATAACGCAATTCGTTGCATATGAAGCGGCACATGCATGAATTGAGTGAAGGGAATCTATTGTGGCGTTAGCTTTTGGCTAATCGTAGGAAATTAGATGAATCTGGCAGACTCCAGAACTCTTTTTTTTTTCTTTTTTTTTTTTTGCCCCCCTAATAAGATGACAAGGAACCACATTGGTGGGAATGATATAAACAAATTACAACTCAACAATACTACATCTAGACCCACAAATGATGGGACGGATTCTAACATATATTTAGAGGACACCCATATACAGTGAGACTGGAATTTAAGATCTCTAATTCACAGATCTCAATTTTGACCACTAAACTAATGCAACGTTCATCACAGCATGGACAAGTACTTAGATTTGATAAAATTTAGAAAATGTTGCTATTCTTTCATGGTATTCCAAGTTCATTCGCATGATTGAGAACTTATATATAAGTTTCTCCATAGAGATAATTGATATAAGAGCCATTCACATCATGGTTCGCAGTCACGAGTCTTGGTCGCATCGCTGTTTCGGTTGTTCCACATCCATCGTGACATATCGATTGAATATCCGGTGATATACATATTATAACACATGAAAGTTTCCAAAAAATCTAAAAAAAATAACTAAAATTAGAAAATACCAAAAAAGACACAATTTGAAAAAATATCCGAGTCGACTCCGAGTTGACTATACATCACGGATTTGAATCGGCTAATATCGCTGAGTCAGAGCGAGTCGCCGCGGATATAATAATATTCGCGATTTAGAGATATGTATCATACCGGTCCTCTCTGCTCCGGTTATGACTCGATCGATACGTATCAGTATCGGTCGATATTGCTAACCATGATTCGCATAGTTGAGAGCTTATAAATAGGTTTCTCCATATAGATAATTGATATAAAAGATTAAATCCTATCAATCTAAAAATCGAATTATAAGATAAAATCCCACTAACAATACTGGATGGTTCTCTGTGGCATCTGCCATGCAAGCACTGAGGCAGCAAGGGGCAAAGGTGTATTGGCACAAATTGGCATGGAGTAAGCACTGCATTCCAAGGTTTGCTTTCATCGATCCTTTGGTTGCCATGTTGACGTAAGTTAGACAACTCTGGATAGGCTCAAAATTTGGGGAGTGCAAGTACCATCAGTTTTGTGCGCTTTATGTAATAAGCAAGAAGAAAGTACAGGCCATTTGTTCATTGATTGTAAAGTTTCTCAAGAAAGATGGCAGAAAATCCAGCTTATGTGCTGCACTTTCAGGGGGCAATATGCTTTGGAAGAAAAATTACAATGGGTGGCTCATCATTGGGTTGCTTTCATAGTATATCACGTTTGGAAAGCTCAAAATATGGTTCTTTTCAAAGCTAAGCCAGTAACAGCTGTTGGTATAATGCGAGGGATTGTTGACAAGGTTCTGTTTGGAAATTGGTGTAATTTCTTTTACGTAGATTTTTATTTTATATAGAAGTAACTAGTTTTCTAATTAATTTTAGATACTTGAAATAGTATTCAAGAAATTTCCCATTTTTATGAGTTTAGGAATTATGAGTTATTTTCTACTTCACATGAGATTAAGAATTAGTAGTTATTTCCTATTATTACTTGGATATTGACCAAGTAATGTAACTTATAAATAGGTGGGATTGGCATACTATAAGGTGGCACACAAGAGCACAGAAGGGTAACATGCAGCTTTATACATGGGATGAGAGATGGTACACAAGAGTTGTACTTGAGTTCAAATTATATTCTTGTATAGGATTTTTTTCTCATAATAAGAACGAGTTTTCTCTCCGTGGACGTAGGATCAATAACAGAGGCAAGCCACATTAAATCTTGTGTGTCATTTATCTTTCATACTTGTGACTTGTTTATCATTAAATTATTGTGTACTTGATATCTCAATAGTCGTTTATTCTATACTTGGATTCCAACAAACTGGTGTCAGAGTCGATTTCGTGGTTAGATCCTGATTAACTATTAATATCAAATGGATTGGTAGTTGTTATCAATTAAACAATTTAATAGTTGATGTCCTTATTTCAATGGCTTGACAAGAAATATTGATGGTGAAGGATGGGAAGGTGAAAAGTATGGAGACATTTGACGGTGAATCAAAGTAGGTGATTTAAGTGTTAAGAAAAAGATGGAGTCCAACGTCGATTTTGGACGTAAATCAATTGAGACTTTCTTACAATTCCGTCGGTTGATATTTCATCCTAGTGATTTTTAGAGTCGAATTATGTTCTTTGAGTGGTGTGGCATGTGTCCTGAAAAAGCAAAGGATCTAATTTTCAAATGCCAAAAGACATTGATGACTGCAAGTTTTATGTTATAAATGGAGTTTTGGAAACCACACATAGCGAGACAAATCCTAAGGATGAGAAGAAGTATGGTAATTTTACCATTTGATTGCCTTAATGATTAGGGTTAGAGCTCACAGAAGTGAATTCCAGCTTGCAAGTGACGGTGATAAGAAATCCTGCGGAAGAGAGATGGTGAATTGAGATACCTTCTCACGAGTCAACAGAAAGGTAGACTCGGTAACTACACATATTTTAATGCAGGTACAAGTTTTGCAATAAAAGTGAAGTCTACTTTTCACAAGTCAAATATAGCAAACCTACTCCTGAACTTTGGAGAAAGGGCATTTTAACATTTTAAACAAGAATAGCACTAGATTTAATATTTGAAAAATCCTGAAAAAGGGAACACGAAGAGTGGAAATTCACAAGTAGGTTGTAAGTATTAGGAAATTTATAAATAAGGTATTGGTTCATAAATAATAAAAATAATTTTTGTTGCACGTAAAATTACGAATTTATATTCATGT